ATGCTCAATAGTGGTTTTATAGCCATTTTTTAAATAGAGAAAATAAGTAAACCGGGGCTGTTATGTTGTAGGTCACAGTCAGAAAGTCTAACCTGCATTCTCCAACGCCACCATCATCGACTGCTCAATCAGGTCCCTTTCAATGAAGCTACGGAAGTCATCTCTGTACACAGTGAGGTCCGGTAGTTGGAAAGTGCACAAGGGCGTGTCCAGGAGGGGCTCGGTGCTGCTTCCTCCGGTGCTGGAGACATGGGAGCGGGCCAGTGACACGATGGTGGAACTGGCGTGTGAAATCCCCCTGGACAGACGCTTCTCTGAGGCGGCTGAAACCCGACGGAGGACAGAGAGAGGAGATGTTTGATTCAAGGTGCTACTGTGAAACTAACTGGAAGCAATGTAGGGCATCATCAATCATTTCAGCAATCAATTGATCTATCAATCATATTTTAGCTTAACTGATAAGTTTAAGAAGAGATAATTTTAGTATATGAACATCTGACTAAAAAGATATTCGCAGTATGGGGGGAAAAAAAAGCTTATTTTAATCAAATTCCAAATGTAAAAACATAAAAATAGATAAATATAAGCTAAATAATTAAAGCAACAATTTAATCTTTCATGGAAAGATTTTACGTTTATACATGTTTATAGTTTTTTATTTAATTATCAAATAATGATTAACTAGTTTGGTTATGAGTATCTGAGGTCAGTGAATGCAACATAACCTCAACTACTCATTCATTTGGTATAGAATTACTGCCTTTATTTAGTTTTTTAAAGCAATATCTCAACTTTAAAAAAACTAAATAAAGGCAGTAATTCTAGTGGCTAAAAGCAACATCTCAACTTTTAGCCACTAGGGGCGCTAGACCTCTAACTTCCAGGTTTGTCAATTTATGTAACATTATGGATGAATAGATTATTAGGCTTTTATTAACTGAATGCCTTAATTATCACAATTATCATTTTGATGCAAAAGCAGATTTTATGAGCGAAGAGAAGCAGAAACACGAAAAAAGGGTTTTTTCTTAAAAAAAAGTGAAACGTTGGATTTTGGAACCTCCCAAAAAAGGTGCGTAAAAGTTGGATTCCGTTTAATAACCACCACGAATCCGGAGAAAGGGATTTCTTGGGCAACAGATTTTGGAAGTGGTGTGCTTTATTATTAACAACACAGTGGAGGTTGTGTTGTTGGTGGGAAATTTCTTTGTATTTATTAAAAAAAGAAGAAAGTGTAATTCGTTTAAAAACAACAGAATGCAGAAAAATAAACGGAAAGGGGGAATTCATAAAGAAGTGGAAAAAGGGAAAAATGTATGCAAAAAAAGAAATTTGGAAATATTTTAAAACAGAATTTGTGAATCAATGAAGCAGCATTAACAGGGCCGTATAAATGTTTCTAATCTGAATTTCCTTCTAGGACTGAATCACTAAAATAAAAACAATCCTCTTCTGTTTTCTAACTCACTGAGATGTTTGTTGATCGGCCGTACTTCCTGATTTTCCTCCATCTTATTGCTGCTGCTCTGAAATGTTTTCAAAATACACTGCTCTGCTGAAACTCATCTGTCGCTCACAGGGTGGGGTGTAGAAAGTAGGAAAATAAAATTCATTGCCATCCTGCCGAACATATGTAAGTAAACACACCTTCAATCTTTGACGAGCCGACCCAGACACGCTCCAACAACTGAACCTTTGTTAGAATAACCTCCTGACCTAATCAGCACCTTTTTTAAACATAAACAGATTTCAAATCCTGAGGAATGAATCTAACGGCCTCACCTTGCACCACCTCGTCCTGCCGGTGGAGAACAGGACGCCCGACCCTTGCCATCTCCTTCTCAGACGGTTGATACACTCGCTCTTCTGGGAACGAGTACATCAGGTTGCTGCCCTGCACCTGACGCAGCTGCTCAAAGTCACTAAGCGCAGCCGTGAAGTCCCAGTTTTTACCTACGGAGACGGAGGAAGAGGAGAACAAACATTTGTTGGAGTCAACTGGCCGACAGGACGCGGCGACCTGGACCTCTTTTATATACGCCGAGTCAATGACACGTCGTTAATGAGTTTAAATATTTACCACAAGCCAGCAGGCTGTCTTATCTTATGCAAAGGCCGCTGACACATTCCCTCACTCGGGTACATATCAGCATTTGCTACTGCAGCTGCATTACATTTTCAGACAGACAGCTTTCACTGCTGCTAAGCGACAGAAATCCTGTTCAATTAGCCTAACCTCACTTCCCTCAGAGTTTAAAAAGTCAGAAACAGTGGAGATGCAAGACAAGAACCCTGGAATGGGGGGAAAGGGTTGAAGCTCCAGAACTCACCTTCTAAAAGATCTCTGGCCAATCCCGGTTCGGCTCCAGTAGAACGGACAAAGTCGGACAGGACTGCGTCCATGTCCACGGTCATGTGATCATGAATTCACAAGTTGAGTGGTTGCTTCCAAACATTAAAACAACAAAAAAAAGAAAGCGAAGCACAAACACGGACTCTGCTCTCCGGGCAGGACAGCGAGGGGGGAGCGGAGCGGTCCTCTGGTGGGCTAATCTGAGGGCCTCACCTGAAAGAACAACAACACAGAGGGTTAAACTGAGCTGTGTGGATGGAGTCCTTACATGTTAAAGGAAAACTGGTCTTCTTTTAGTCTTCATATATACATTTTTTCTCTTTTTCTACACACGCTTCAATAACCTCAGACTCAAAGTCTGTATTGTGATTAAAAAATATTCTGTCAAGTCTGAAACTTCAACCAGAAAATCTCAGGCGAGCAGAGCTTTCTGTGTTCAGGCCGCTGCAGCACAGTTCGCCCTGTTTACGTTCTGCATAAATCTGAATCCATGACAGATTAAAACACCAAAACAGAAGCTGAGAGCCTGATACTCCAATTCTCTCAAGGAAAACATTCTTTAAACTACATTAGGAAAAAAATTTGAATTCCTAAAGATAATATAAATATAAAAATGCAATTTCATTTGTCCTTATGGCTTCCATTAACTACCATTCCTAAGTTAATTTGCTGTTAAAGTAATACTAACATCAATATGTGGTATAACTATAAAGTCATGTAATGCAAGTAACAAAAAATTTAATAAATATGTTTATTGGAGAGAAATACAGATCAAACCAGATCAGATAGGAAACAATCTGTTGTAAATGTTGAGAATCAGAATCGATTATGAATAATTTAACTGTTTGGTGTTTTTATTTTTTACTAAAATGTGTCTGCTTTAAAATTATTTAAAATGACAAATTACAAACTCTAAATACAAAATTGAATGCTAGAATTACAAAACAACAGTTAGACTTTTACAAACTTAAAGTCAAAGGGAAGCGGCTGTTCCAACCGTTCCATTTCCGAATTCTCCAGAGTGGTGCGCGACTTTACACGAGTGAATAAAGTGAATGTGATTGGTCGTTTATCAAGAGGGCGGGCTTGTTGTGGCGGAAGGTTCACAAGCTAGTTTGGTTGCAAATATTAGGTAAAACACACCCTCACATTGTGTCAAACACCACAGTGCAAAGGATTTAAAAACACCAGAAGTTCCTTTTTGAAACACCCACAATCCTTTGCTGCATCACTATAACAACCAAACAAACATCACATGACCAATTCCCTGTCAGAAATAAAAACATTGGTTGTCAATATCGGAGTTAACACTGATATTAAAGCACAACCCTTGTTTTTGCAAACAATATATTTTTGTGTTAACAGCTACTGTATTCTTAACTATTAAGATTCTAATCTTGATAACATTTTTTGAATTTCACTTTTTTTTTTTACATAAACATTGCCATGAAACCGAAATTTAAAACTAGATATTGACGCTTAAGAAAATATTTGATACTTGATACCATTTTCTGGTCCAAAAAAGGCTTTTTCAGTCCAATGCAGATTATTTTGACATTGATCTAACTGATAGCCGACATTTACAGACGATTTTTGTGGGCCAAACTTTTAGGCCATACTTTTCTTCTTTAGTTTACATTATTAGAATGAAACCAAGATGAAAAAAAGAAACTTAATTGACCAATCAAAATATTAACAAGGATAGCAGATGGTGGCAACGCATGAACTTCATGTGACCTTTCAGCAAACCCATGCATGCATCGATCGATCGATACAAGACAAAAATCAGCCACTATTGGCCCAAAATATCATCTATTTCTACCATTTTCAATAGTATGGTGATAAAAATTACGATTTATAAAATATTTGACAATATTTTAATACTTTAAGGCTGTCTAAACTTTTATTCTTTTACTGAGATGTCTAAAATTAACAATACTAAATACATACAAAAGTTGTCTTTAGTATCCATACAATGAAGATTTTACATTTTATCCAGATACAGCTTTACTTTTTAGAGAATCTATATTTTTTTGGCAAGCGCACCGATCCACTAATAGAGATAATCTAATACTTATTCACTATGTATAAGTGACAGCTCATGAAAAGGTGTAGATCTAACATTTCTAGACAATATTTTAGAACCAAAAGTATCACATAAAGAAGTAAACCACATGAATCATATCTAAAGCCATCTCAAAGTCACATTTTTATCTCAAAAGACATCAACCAATGTTGACATCCCTTCCTTAATTGCAATATGACATTTTCATATAATGAGGTATATATAAGTGAAGAGTAATTGAGGCTGTCGATGCCCCGGCAGCTATGAAATCGATTACATTACATCGCTCCACTCCTCAAATTTCACGGGCAGCTCTAAAAGGGACTGTGGGGCTGCATCGGTCGGCTACTGGAATCAATGTAGAGACATTATCAAGACCGAAAGAATAGGAGTCAGCATCAAAGGGCTGTTGACACGAGGGATGTAGAGGGCAATCGATGCAGCGGCCGGACAGAAGGCAGGAGACAGAAGGCCGACCCCAACCAACGGATGTTCACTCAGATAATATCCTCCACTTAGAAAGGGATTTTTTTTTCAGAACGTTGGATTGCAAATCAAATACTGTAATTCACAAATAATAAAAAAAAGAGATAAGAGAAATTATTTAGCTGTAGACGTTTGGAGTATTCTTATAACTGCGAGTCTTCAACTCTCTCAAACAGCTTTTCAATATTACTGTGGGTTATCAATCCCTTTTTTTGTTATTTTTCTGGCTCAAAAACCACTGGATTCAATTATATGTAGCGTATTTATTTACTTATTTTACAAAGTTGTTGAAAGAAAAAAAAAACATTTTAAGAAAAGTAACTTTGCTGCCTTTGCAGCTTTTTTTCTTAATTCAAACTTCTGAAAGTTCTTTTCAATAAATGATCAGTGTTTTTAATTAAGAGTAATTTTCATGTGAATGTGCTTTACTGGAGGCATCCATGTTTGTCAAAGAACACTACTGCCACCTACTGGTTTGTGACGTCACGGTGCGGTATCGGCTGTTGATCAAGTCCCAGTGCTGTATCTGGTGTTTGTCACAACGCGCTATTATCCATGATTGGGACGACCACTGCACTATGCGAAGCAGAGAGTAATGGATTAATAACATG